GCACTATATAAGTGCTAAGTAATCATTACTGAAAGAGATTTGAGGCTCCTGCCTTGGGGTAAGTCAGCGTAGGTCCAGTGAAGTCAATGGAGCTCTATTGAATCATGACTGCTAAGCATCATGCCCTTTCCATCCAAGTTTCTATAGCTGCAATCCACTGGTATTTGCACTCAGGGCCTGTGCAGCTGCTTTTGGTTCAATTGTGCCTATCTGTGATTAAATATTCCATTATCAATTAACCATTAATGCTGCCTAGTGATGATTTAAAATTGGGCAGGAGAGTTATGGTACCCATTGAGTTGGTTAATGCTGGGAAACAACATGTTTCGCATTAAATAATTGTTCCCATGTATTTGTTCATACAAGGGTTTCCCCACCCTTTCTCAATGCTTTTCTTTCCCATTAGACTGCTGTGTTTCTAGGCGTTTGCTTAGAGCCTACCACTCTCCACCCATGCTGTGCTATCAACCATGAGGGATAGTAGTGGCTTTCGGGCAGTTGTACAGACTTGGGACCACGTGCATGCACAGTTGTGATCAGAAATGGGTAAAGTCTCTGAGCTGCCCACAGGGCCATTTGTACAGCTGTAAGGGCCAGAGGGGGCTGCATTTTAGAGGTGTGTGAAGTCGGAGGTGGTGAGGACCTTCCCGATTTTAAAGGGAGGCTGAGATCTTCATTGTGGGGTAGAGATGAACTGAATATAAAACATCAGGTCGAGGTATTTTCACATTTTGGATCCCAATGGCACAGCTGGCAGGAGTCATGCAGTAGTAACACGGCAGAACAGAACGGCGGGCCCAGAGCTGTCTACTGGTAATTTTACAAACAAAGTGCTTTCGTGATGCAAGGCCAAAAAAGGCTCGGTCAAAAATGCAGTGAAGCCAGAGATTCCCATAGGCTCTTTGGCTTTTAAATGAGGAGAATAAAGTTTGCGTGCAATCGCTTCATGTCACAGAAGCTTCGAGCCCCAGGGTGATTATAAGTAACAATAACATCCACACATTAAATGCCCCCTGCTCATCCTGAAGAAATATCCCTCATTTGGGCTGTAGGTGGGTGTCGGGTGTAATGCAGATGTATAACCTGAAGTTACATCTCTGTAAGCAATTAAACTAATTAAAAGGCAAGGCCTTTATTTTTCCTGAGCCAGATTCCATTAACAAAGCCCCATTTAACTGGAATCAATTCAAAAAAATAACTTTAATTGCTTAAATACTCTTTATGTGGTGTTGAAAAAGCAATTTGATGGTGGGATTTTAAATGCGCCTCACCTGTTGAGAAGTTAATGTGTTCAAAAGTGCCAGTGAAGGGGGGATTATTGCTCTTTGTTCTAAAGAAGAGAGAGGAAATAAGAAGAATCCTTCTGATTGATGTGCAGCCTCGAGATGTAGCACCGCTGTCTCTCGCTTGCTGCAGCCTAGCCAAGAAGATGTGCAGCCCTACACAGCTAACGGTTTTGGAAGGGAACAAGCTGATGGTTTTGTGAGGATCCTACATGCTTGGGTCATTTCATGGCTTTGTGTGAATGGTCACGCACCTATAGGAACATGCTTATATATCATTTGTGCCATTCTTTCTTGCAGTGATGTAGTACCTTGCTAGGCACACAGACCCCATGCCTTACAATGGGGACTACTCATGTATTAAAATTACTGTTTTCTCTTAGTAAAGGTGGTAGAGAGAGTTCCTCCGATTCCAGCCCTAAATGCATGGGCTGTTTCAAAGAGCAGCTCTCTATTATGTGTGAATAGTGTCTGGCTCTGTAAGGCCCCGATCCTTGGTCGGTGCTCTTGCGGTGCAAGCCCTAAATCATGATCATGCTCTTCAGCAGTAGCTGCGATCTCTTACGGTGCTGCACGGGGGCCCGTCTTGTGATATGACACTTAAATAATGCTTACGTTTCAAAATAAAAAGAAAGGAAGGGAGATCTGAAGAAAAGCCGGAGGAGCAGCAGGTTGTATTCTCCAGGGTCCCGGCCATGCATTTGCAGTCAACAGCTTTTAAGCAGTTGCTTAACCTTTAAGCCTGTACATGATCTACTGAAGTCAGGGCCTGATGCTTTGATTCCCATGATGATTAACTCCTTCAAAATCCTGTCAGTGCCTTAGATAAAAACGCCCCGCAGTAATGATTGTAGAGCATTCATTGTAGGACATGCACAAGGCCAGATTCCCGTCACCTTGCATCTTTCATAGTATTTGACAGCAATCCCTACCATCACTTGCTGACAAACGGATGCCCCATATATATATATACACATATACATATACATATATATACATATGCATACACACACACACACATATACATACATACATATACATATATATACGTGCGCGCGCACTACAAAACACTATCATTCCAATTTATTTGCATTTTCCAATTACCCTGCACTCGTGTAAATAATGGCACAAGTTGAAATCAAGGCGTCCTGCCTGTTCATTTGTTTCAATAGATTGGTGGAATAATCATTAATTAGAATATATATGCCAATAGGTATCTAGCATTTATCTTTATGGTTAAAGTCTGCGCTGGAAGTCAGGAGAGAAATAATCAGGTGCCGAAATGTAAGCATTTGCATAAGTTGGTGGCTGATTTGGAAGTTGCCGGACCCAGGCATCAAAGGAGTATGTACATACAAATTAAATGTGCCGATGTCTGTTTTGTTAAAGGAGGGGGGATTGGGTTCTTATATAAGGCAGTTGGTTTACCTGGGATTTCCGGCATTACAAGATGAAAATTTGGCCCAGCATATGTTAAGATTATTTCTAAGAAGTTGGATCATGGATTCAGAATGCACAGTAATAAATATTGTAGCCTTTGGGGGTAAGATTATTATGTTTAAACCTGTGCTGTCATAGCAACCATCCATAGTAACTTTCTAAAAATTAGTTTTAGACATCCCTTGTTTGATCTGGGCTCAAAGAATATTATGTTTATGCCTATTTATGTAGAAAAGTTTTAAATTAAATTGGTTCAGCTGTCTTGGAGTTATCCAACGGTGGAAAAATGCCATACATGATTCATTTATATAACATCCCCCGTCTCAAAGGACTTTACAAAAATCAAATGAAAAATAATCAAGTGACTGGGAAAAATCGTCACAATTAGTGAGAGAGACACATTTTCTGCCACGGTTCATAATTATGCAGGATTGTGCCACACGTTTAAAGACTAAACATGGTTTAAAGGCTGTACTGTAGGTGGCAGAGATGCATTAGTTATGCAGCAAAATCATCTTGCTGCTTCATTAACAAAAGAGTAAGAATGTACTGATGTTTCCCCATCATTAATAAATACACAGTGTAGTGCTATCCTGACACCCTGCTGTTTGCTAGAAGAAAGGTTTGAGTTAACTTGGAGTGTTGAGTTGGTGAAGGACTTCTTGATGTTGGTTTGATTATCAGTTCTGTTGTTGGAAATGACTGGTTATAAAACTGGAGGCATCTCGGAGAACTAAATTGATTTACAGGATTCATTTCCCCTCATCCAGAGCAGAATTTGTTAGAATACAAATGGTTTTTAAATAAATGACATATTCTGTAATAAAATATTGTAAATGGGTTTGGTTAAGAGTAATTGGATTTCATAATAGCTCCTATTGTGGAAATGTTGTTTGCACTGCTGTAGTTAATGCTACTCGTGTATACCACAACTCAAGGGTGCATGCGACATATGTAGCTAGACACTTGTACCAGCCAGTAACTTTTGAAGTGTCTACTTAGCCAAAAGTTGTGTGTATGTGTGTAGTTGCATGCAATTTATTAAAGCAAACAGCATAACATTAAGAAAAAAGTTGGTGGGATGACTAGCAGGTGAGCCAAAATATTGTTAATGGGCTCTGGAGCATTTTGTCCCAACTTCGAGGCCTTGACCTTCTTTGCTGTGGCACGTAAATCATCACTTCTTGATACTGTTTGGTGGCCTCTTTCCCACTCTTCCCACCAGTTCCCCCCGACCTCCAATTTAAAATCAGCTTTCTTGCTAGCAGTCTCCACCGAATGGCTAGGAATTAAATGAACATAGAAATCAAACCAACCTTACCTGTCGGAGAAGCAGCTCAGCTCTTGGACATGATGGCTCTGTAACTTTCTCTGCAGCTCCTAAAATTTCAAATGTTCACATATTATAGAAACCTGGAAAGTCTGAGGTTATGAACAGGGCAATCCCAGCTTAGGATCCTGGCACTTTTGCTGGTCTGGTGATCTTCAGGGGGGTAGGGGGAGTTCTCTCCAGGGTCATTGTTTGCCAGCTTCAGGTCCTGACACCCAGAAGACGGTCTGCCTTCTTGAAACTGCTAAATTCTTGTGTGTCTTCTATGTTTTGTGCCATTAAAAGTAAGAGAGAAATGGAAAGAAGTCTAAATAAGAATGGAGCCCTTGTGGTAGAAAATGGACGGGGGAACATAAGATGTAAGGAAAGCATTGTTAATGGTCAGCTTGGAAAAAGCAATTCTGAAATATTAACAATCTTCCCCATTTATTTCAGACAGTAGCATTCGGAAATCAAGTCCGAAGCTGAAAGAGCAGGAGAGGGGAGCTGTGTTAGCTAATCAATGGGTGTCTCTGGGTTGGGATTTTGGAAGTGCTCTGCTTCTTTCCTGGCTGAGCTATTTGCTTTGAAAAGCATCCCCTACCCTCTGACTGCTGCCTGGTCCCTTGAAGCAGGCATGCTTTTTCCATCGGGTACCCCTTGTTGAATGCATGCGAACCAGTTTGGGGAGCTGCCCTTTCAGCAGTGCTTGATTTGGAAGGTGCTAGCATTGTGCAGCAAATACCGGACAGGCTTTCTAACCACACTTTCTTCAGAGTGGGGCATCATGCAGTGAGGGGATAATGGTCCCTGGGGATGATGGCTCTGCCTTACGTAATGGGACCCAAGTCCTGTCTTACCCATGGGTGGTGCTCAAAGAAAGCAACTTGAAGGCCAGTCTTCTGGTTAGTCGCAGAAGGTCATTTCCACCTGCACGCATTTGACTCTTGCTGATTGATTTCTTACAGGTTTACCGGAATGAATCTGCCTGCCCCGGTAATCAGCAGTAAAAACTGGCTGCGACTCCACTTCACATCAGATGGCAACCACAGGCAGAAGGGGTTCAGTGCACAATATCAAGGTAAATGCTCACTGAGCAGATTGCATCATTAATGGTTTTTAGCACCCTTTCCTTCAGCTGGAGGGAGGCACGCTTTAGGCCCAAAGCTACCCACAACAGGCAACTTTTGATCTGTCCCTTACCTAGGACATGTTAGCTTTGCCTTCCTAGCAGGCTGCCCAGTTTTGCCACACAGAGAGCCACCTTGGCAGCTTGCTGAGAGCATGAAAACTTGCACCTCTCTGGCAAATAAACCTGCATTTTAGATTTTTTTTTTTTTTAAAACAGAAGTGCATCTCCATTTGCTCCCTTTGCACTTCTCTCACCTAGACTTTATATTGACATCCCAGACAGGGGTGTATATCAGGATGGGTTTCCTAGGCTGCCACTGATAGTTGAGATGCTAGCCTCTCCCTTGAGTCCCCAGACTCAAATCCCTGCTCTACCCCAGAGGTTTCTGACAAGTCCCATAGTTTTGCTGTCTCATTTTCCCATCTGTAACTTGGGGATAGCAGCTCTGCCTTTTGTTGCAAGGGTTTTATGAGGACAAATACACTAATGGTTTTGTGCCGCACAGATGCCACAGTAATGGGGGCCATTTAAATAACTAAGATAAATGGAATGAGATCCACCACTGTAGCTCTAGCATAGCAGGATGCCCCCAGGCTGTGCAGTGAAAAGGCAGGATTAATAGTTAAGAATGTGATATTATTACATTTTGTTGTGGGGCGTTTGTACGGTTGCTAGCAACTGCGGTGCAGGAATATGCTGTGAAAATCAACGAGAGAAGTTAATGGGGAGAGCGGCAGGTCTTACTTACTTTTACACTGTCATTAGGCATAGGCACGTGGTTAGCAGGAAGCTTGCAGAGTTAAATCTGTACCGATCCCAAGGCAGTGGGGTTTTCCCATTCCTGCTAACTGCATTGCATGTTCTTCCACCGTTTATGAGAGATTCAAGTCAGACAGTCCTCAGGCTTGCCTGATATTCAGGACAAAGCTGTAGTGCTCAACTCTACCTGTTTACTTCTTAAAAGAGCGATCGTTTCTGAGTGGCAGACTTCCACCTGGCGACCTGGGCTTGACTGAAGCCCAGAGTATCTTTGCCATCACAGGAACATAATCCTGTTAGAACCAAAAGTCAGTTGAACATCTGTATTGAGGAAGCCGCTGGTTTACCTGTTAGCACGTGCTTAGCTGCCATTCAAGCCAAGCATTTTGTGCATGCTCAGGGTGCTCAAAGATGTCCTGATTCAGGGTTGGACTTAAGCATGTGCTTTCTGGAATTGGGGCCTTCGTTAATTAAAACTACCTCCTTTTTACAGATGGGAAACTGAGGCACAGAGAGATTAATGCCCTTACTCAAGGCCACAGAGGGGAAGTCAGAAGTAGAGGTAGGAATAGCATCCAGATCACTAGTCTTGTGATACAGCTATGAGAAAAGAAAAAAAAAAACAAAAAAAAATTTCTTTATTTGTCACCCTAGCAGCCACTCTGGTGGCCTTAACTCAGATGTTGCCTTGTGAATCAATTTTAGTTCTTCCTCCACAGAGTCACTGTGTTGCATATATATATTTTTTTGTTTCTAACATAGATGACTGCACACCACTGATGACTCTTGATATGACATTTTCCTTCTGCAGTCATGATTGCTGCTTTCTATTAAAACACCAGTCTGAATCATGCTTTTTTTTTTCTTCTTTCAAATAGAAAAATAAAGATTAATGTTATAATTTCCTCTGATTAGATAAATGTCGGGGCGAGGGGGGGGTCTAATCTGGCAAGCTCCTTGAAAAGTGTTTTGTGAGATATAATGAGCTGTGCTTTTGTGTGCAGGGTGCTTAAAGGATGAATTTATAAATGCTCTCAAAAGCACTGAGGCAGGACCTCAGTCTAGTGGGCAGAACAGAGTGGCCCATCTCTCCTGCATGTACCATGCTGTCTCTGTCTCTGAGTGTGTGTGCCACATGTAGCACATGGGAGCCACCGCCAATACTGATGGTGCTTGGTGAGCACCTGTTTTCCCGATCCGCTCAGCGCAGAGAGATTCTGCGAGCGACATTTCAATGAATTTGAAAAATGGGTGCATGGAGCACATGACAAAATTGCAGGCCAACTAAATATGCGCGGGGAGTCCCGAAAACATGGGAAGATCTCACGGACCAGGATTTTGTTCCAGATGCTAAATGAGCTTCCATGAAACATTCAGCTAGCCTTCCAAAGAAATGTGATCTAGCTTTCTTTATGCAGCTAGGCAACATCGCTCTGCATAATGCCTTGCTGTGTGTGTAGCCTGGTCTACACTGCGAAACAGGTGCAGGCATAGACAAAACAAGGCTTGCGTTAATCTGGCTGGTTTAGGAACTTGTAGCAGTGAAGCCACAGAGAGACTGACTTGAGCCACTCCACATGTGTCCGTGGCCTTGGGTGGGCATGCCCAGTCTATCCAACAGCCAACATGGCTTTGCTGGTGCAGATGCCCCAACCAGTTAGATTCATGCTAAGATGAGTATTGCACCTGCTGCAGTCATACCTCTGATAGCATCTTGGGCATAACCATGTGTTTGTACCATTGTAACGCTTACTGGTTTAGAAAGTATAGCTCGTCCTAGGATAAAGGTACGGATATCACTACCCAGCTATCACAGCTGCATAGGTTATACAAATATCTTGAGTTTCTAAACCAGCATAGTGATCATGGTGCAAAGTCGTGCGTGCATCAGTCCATAGCAAGCAACAGAGAGAGTGGGCGCATCTACGCATGATGCCACATCGCCGTAGCAATGCACTATGGTGACGTAGCGTCGGCAGGCCCAAACCGCGACACCGCAGCGACATCGCCGTCGCAATGCGCTCCCTCCTTATAGCATGTTGCTATGGCATGTAGCAGCTAAAAACGACTGTGCGCAGTGCGCATGGCACATTGTGGGCTGTTATTGTGCTGTCATTTAGTACTTCCGAAGGGAGTAGCCATTGAGCACTTGCTAATTTTCTTCATGGGTCAGATCTTTAAAATTAACGACAAAACTTATGAAACGTTGGGAAGTGCTAAATCCAAAAGGAAGTACTAAAGGATGGCGTGGTAACAAAGGTGCCATAGGGACACATGTAGACACACTCAGTGTCTAGCTACAAAACTAGAAAGAGGGAGAATTAAATAACATCCCCTTTAAATACTTGTAAATACCTAATAACAGCTAGTTTTCAAGTTCGCATCTTGTTCTCCCTGACTGTCTAGCTAGTTTAACCCATCTAGGTTTTGCAATGCACCCTCCGTCATTAGTATCGGAGCTTCATACAAATGATAAAATACATACAGGATCAGAGATCCTTCCAGGAGCTCTGTCCCGTCCTGTAATTTGGCGTCAACATCTACTGGCTCTTGCCCCTTTTTTTGCACTTTGCTCGGTGTCATGGAGCTCATTCAACATGCATCTTTGGTGGCGCAGATCGCAAACACGGTGAGATCCAAAGAGGCTAGTGACAGAAGCCCCTGGGAAGGGAATCTGAGGATTGCTATAGGTCTCTAGCCAGGTTTCAAAGCCATCGAGCACTTGCTAATTTTCTTCACGGGTCAGATCTTTAAAATTAACAACAAAACTTAAGAAATGTTGGGATTTCTTTATTGGCTGTGTGTGGTGGCTTTGCTAGGGTCATGAGAGCTGACCACCATGCTGCAACCTGTTTGTCATACCGGGCTGGAGACATTGCAGAGATCTTGCCCTTGCCCCTGTAATGGAGGAGGCTTGGTGGTCTGGGTTTTAGGGGAGCACTTTGGGGGGCTGGGTGAGAACAGGCTTCACTATAAATGATTCGTGGAAATAGCTCAGCAAGCAGGACACCTTTATGCCCTTTTCACCCAGCAGGCTAGGCCTAACAGCAGGCTGTTGAGGCTGGTCCCTATGGCATAATGATTCATTGTACTGAGCAAGCGTTGTCCCCAGAGTTTTGTTGCAAGTGTGGTTGATGGGGCTTGAGGAGAAAGAGTGAGGCTCTGAAAGAGCTGGAGGGAGGACAAGGTGCTACAGGTCACTGGGGGAGCCAGGTTTCAAAGCCAGAGGCTTGCTCATCCAGAAGCCGTGCTAGGGTTAACTTCAGGGGTCCTCTCAAGAGGGGGGAAACCAAAAAAGGTTGCTTCTTGGGAAGTCCCAAGGCAGGGCACGACACTCCCTAATTGTAGTCTGTAAAATCATTTTTCACAAAACCCTAAAATTGCCCATGCGGCCAGTCTGTTTTTCCAAGGGCACAAATGCCATTTATGAACATCCCCTGAGGCTGTATCTCACTTTGCTATGAGATGTCCTTCTCCTGTTCCATCTGGTTTAACTTGATACTTAGCTTTTGCCGAATGGGATGGGGGTTTTGTTTGCTCCAGTTCAGAAGGTTCTATCCATGCCCTAGAGTTGACATCTTTCTCTTTATGAATGTAGAAGCAAGATGGTGTGCATGTGTTGATATACGTATGGAGAATAAATTCTCCCCTCCCCTCGAAAGTCATCATGCGTTTCCCTTCTCCAGTACCTTTCAGTAGGAACAACCCCAAATATTTTACAAATATTAAATATTAGATCTTCCAACACCTGGGAGGAAAACAAAACGAAGCTTCAGAAAACTCAGCGGGGTGATGCTTGGGAGGTACTAGGCACTTACAGCTTTGAAAATTAGGCCACAAATGACTTGCCCAACATCAAGGGTGGATCAGGGATTACAACGCAGGCGTCCCAACTCATCATCCTCTGCTCAGTGCTGAATCGCTGAAAATGAACTAATGGAAAAGCTGCTGAATTTAAAATGATGCTAAGCAGATCTACATAATGATCTGGCTGATGTAGTTCATTTCTCCAGCATATACTGTATTACATGTATAGGACCCTAAAGTGCCTTTTATCTGATTGTGACCAACACATAATTGCATCCTATATCGATTTCCACCTCCTCCCCCTGCCCCATAAGAATATGAATGTGGGTCTGGTATCAGCCCTATCAGGCCATGGTACCGCTTTGAAAATGAGATAGGCTGTG